TACCTGGGCACACTCAGCTTCCTGTCCATCCCCACTCCCAGCTCCCTTCCTGCCTGGCTGCTCTCCAGCCACTCTGTCCCAGCCTGGAGCTGCCAGGGGTTGTTGTGGCCAAAGGGCAGGACCCGGCCCTTGGCCTGGTTGAACCTCATCCCGTTGGAATCAGCCCAACTCTCCAACCTGTCCAGGTCCCTCTGCAGAGCCCTCCTGCCTTCCAGCTGATCGACATTTCCCCCCAGCTTAGTGTCAGCTGCAAATTTGCTGATGGTAAGTCCTGGGGTGATGGGCAGGAGAAGGCACAGCCGAAGGGTGAGCTCAGGGGTTCCCAAAATCCTGGGGTGACAGGCAGGAGAGGCATCACCACCCTGTGCTGTGCTGCAGCAGCAAGGGATGCCCAGCCCATGGCACCCACTGAAGCTCCATCCAGCCCATGATGGTCCTCCAGGAGCTTTTTATTTCTATTAATGCCATGAAACTTGGAAACAAACCCCACAGTGCTGATGGGGGAGTTTTACCCCCGTGGAGTCATCTAGTCATGGAACGGTTTGGGTTGGAAGGGACCTTAAAGCTCATTCAGTGTCACCCCCTGCCATGGGCAGTGACATCTTCCTCTAGACCAGGTTGCTCCAACCTGGATGGGACAGCCACCGTTTCTCTGGAAAACCTGCTCCAGGACCTCCCCACCCTCCCAGGGAAGAATTTCTCCCCAGTATCTACTCCTCCCATCTCAGTGGGAGAAGTTTCCTGCCCAAAACACACCCATTCCAACACCTGTGTGCTTTTTAGGGAGCCACACCCCCTATCTAGTGGTACCCACCCGCTCCATCCCTTTCCCAGGAACGGTTCTACCTCGGAAAGTGGATTCAAGCTTTGGAGCAGAGCTTGCAAATAACATCCTCTGCATCTGGATGATCCCTCAAGGACACAGAGCTGCCAGGTTGTCACCAGGAAGCCAATTCCAGGGCCCAGCAGTGGAGAGCAGAGATGCTGCAGGACATGGTGGGACCGTGGGGAAAACTGTGGGAATTCCAGCAGCACCTGGAAGAGAGAAGAGCCAAGACATGCAGGTGATTGAACCAGGATTTTACAGGTTCCAGCACCCAACTGCCAGGGCAGGAAAGCTTCAGAAGCACCATTTGATCCCACACTGATGAAATCTCAGCACAAGCAGCTGTTTGGGGTGATGTGTTTCAGGGGATTCCACCATGAATAAGCACCAAGAGCCAAAAAAACACCAGGAAAGTTCCTTTCAAATCTTCACTCTCCTATTTTATGGAGCCATCAGCTCCCAACCCAAACCAGAGACAACACTTCTGTCAGGGAGGCTGTTCTGGTGATAAATCTGACCCTGGATCTTCCAAAAAAAAATCATCCAGGAGCAAAAGTATGATTCAATATTCCACGTGTTCTGAGAGGGGCAAATAGTGTAAAAACTAGTTTTATTTGTTGAATAATAAATCCAGAAATCCTATTCCACACAATATTTTGAAATTCTTTTTATGTAGCAACTAGTTAACTGTCAGCTGAGCTGGGATTTAATCTTTCTGCAGCTTTAATTTCTGTATGTATATAATTATTCCATAATTATACACACTAAAATATTGCCTAATTATAATCACAGGAAATAAGACTCCCCTACAAATAACCAAACTCTTCCCATTAAATATTTGTTACTACATGACCTTCACAGAGGATTTGGTGTCTGGCTTGTTCAAGGGGAAAACTCACTTAATTTTATATATTACAGCAGAAATGACACCACACAATGAGAGATCCAGGTGGGAAATATCCCTAAATATCATTTGCCTCATAGAAATTGTAGACTGTGTGTAGATGGTCTTCATCTACCTCGGTCTTGGAGGGGAACATGAAGGCAAAAATGAGATTTGTATTTATCAGAGGGGAGAGGAGCCGAGCCAAGACTGAAACAAAGGGCCAGCCCCAATTTCCAGGAACCTCCCTGTTTTTTAGAAGAGTGTGGCTGGAGAAGATCCTATTTCTCAGCACTTGCCTGTACAGCCCTCAAAACCCAACTGAGCTCAACTCCTGCAGTTTGGGGTTTTTTTCTAAAGGGGTTTCTTTCTTATTTCTGTTTTCCCTTTCTTTTTCAAGCAGGATTTTGAAGTATTGATTTGCTCGAGGGCAGCCGAGCCAGGAGCAGGGTTTCCCCTAATTTTGATGACAACAGAGTTAAAATGCAGTTTAACAGCAAGACCAGATATGGTTCTTATTTTTCTCTGGGTGTGGTATCAGCAAAAAACGTTTTAAAATTGAAATTGTTCCTTAAAATTGAAATGAAGCCTGTGGAATTACATTTTCTCATGTGAAATAATACATCTTCTAACTGCTTTAATAGACCTTAGTATGCAATTACTGCACAGTATCTCTAAATAAGCAGATGATACAGCCCTGTCTTTCTTGTTTTAATGATAAATTCATCCCTCCACCTTTATAATCCTTCATTTGCCTGATGAGATCAGGCACCTGAGATCAAGACACAATACCTTTATTACATCTAATTTCCCAAGATAATATTAATATTATGTGGCAATCTATAGATATTATATTTATTTGTATTATATATATATATAAATCTGCATATATAGGTATATAAAAATCTGTGCATATATATATAAAAATCTGTATATACATATCTATAAATATATAATATACATATATAATATACATAATATATATTATATATATTATATTATTGAGACACTGGCTCAGGTTGCCCAGAGAAACTGTGAGGTCTCTTCTAACCCAAACCATTCCGTGATTCTCTGATTCTAATTCTGATGAGTGGATTTTTTTTCCTGATAAGAGAAGAAATCCCTTTGAAATCTCCTCCTTCATCTCAAAGAATCCTCTGTTTGACCAGCCTTGAGCATGAATGAATCTTGATAATTACTGTTTATAATAATTATATTAGAATAAGCTAATGTATGATATATTATGACATTATATTAAAATATGATACTCTTTGAGCAGTTCTGTGTGTCTTCTCTGCTTGGGGCAAGCGTGGAGTGGGAAGCAATGCTCTAATGGAATGGGAGTAATTCTGGATCTATGGGTCAGGCTTTGATGTCCCTTTGTGTTTATATCATAGAATCATAAAATTATGGAATGGTTTGGCTTGGAAAGGTCCTTAAACTTCATCCAGTGCCACCCCCTGCCATGGGCAGGGACACCTTCCACTAGCCCAGGGTGCTCCAAGCCCCATCCAACCCAGCCTGGAACACTTCCAGGGATGGGACATCCACAGCAAGGATTATAGGATATATATATAAAAGATAAAATTAGGATATATTCCAATTTCTCAGCGAATTAAACCCACCCTATGTCTCAGCAACTCTCAGGCTGAGGGACCAGTGGCCAGGAAAGCTCCCCTGCTTTGGAAACACTTGGAACAACGGGACATTCCTGGCACTCAGAGACCTCTGAAGGCATTTGAGCTAAATATTCCCCCTTTTGGACAAAGAACTCCCGCTAAAATCCCAGCACAGGCTGAAGTGCAGCACAGGAACACCCTGGAAAAGAAACTGTGCCCCACCTGATGGGAAACCTCGTGTACTTCTGTGAACGCTGTGACAGAACATCCAGCAAAGAAACCTGGAAAGCCGAAGAAACCTTTTCAAGAACACCCCTGGGAGCAAATCCTGAAGTTCTCTTTCACTTTTGGGTCAGAAAAGACTCTTGTCTCTTACACAGGCTGAAAACCACAGCCCACAGAGGAATGACTGGAGCAGAAGTGGAAAACACAGCGAGAAACTGGAAAATGATGCAGCTCTGGGAGCACAGCGAGTGTCTGGGCACGCCACAGCCTTCTTATAGGAAACAAGCTGCCAATTAAAATAAAAACAATCTGAAAATGCAATATAAAACTCTTGATTCATCCTGCTCCCTTCTCCCTTGACAGTAAAAATCCCAGTGACTTCACAGCACACGAAGAGCTTTGTTCAGCCTTTTGGCCCAGCTAAGGATGACCACGTGCAGTGAGAGCTGATGGTGAAATATTTGGGTTTTATCCCGAGTAGAGTAACAAAATCAACTCTTCAGGCAGGTTCTCACAAGTATTCATCAATGAGATATCATCATTAGAGAATCAGAGAATCCTGGAATCATTCAGGCTTGAAAAGAACTCTAAGACCATGGAGACCAATCGTCCCCAGCGCTGCCAATCCCACCACTGACCCCTCTCCCCAAGTGCCACATCCACACAGCTTTTAAACCCCTCCAGGGATGGGGACTCCATCACTACCCTGGGCAGCCTGTCCCAATGCTTGGCCACCCTTTCCATGAAGGAATTTTCCCTAATATCCAACCTAAACCTCCTCTGATACCACTTGAGGCTGTTCCCTCTTGTCCTGTTGCTTGTTCCTTGGGGGGAGACACTAAAATAAAGAATAGAAATGGAAAAGCTTGGAGGGAGACAATTTACTGGAGCATGGAGCAACAGGATAAGGGGGAATGGCACGAGGAGGGTTAGATGGGATATTGGGAAGGAATTCTTGGCTGGGAGGGTGGGGAGGCCCCGGCACAGGTTGCCCAGAGCAGCTGTGGCTGCCCCTGGATCCCTGGAAGTGTCCAAGGCCAGCTTGGACAGGGCTTGGAGCAACCTGGGACAGTGGAAGGTGTCCCTGCCCATGGCAGGGGATGGAATGACACGATCTCCAAGGTCCCTTCAACCCAACCTGCGATTCCACGATCCCGTGATTCCATGAAAAGCTTATCCCCGTCCCGCACACCAGCCCTATCTTTCGGTCAGTCCTGTGCTCCAAGGGCACAGTCCCGAAGGCAGGAGCTCCAGCGCTGCCCCGCAGCACCCCCGGCCGGGCTCAGCGCGGGATCCCCGCCCCCCGCGCCGGGCGGGATTCCCGGCCCCGCCGCTCTCGGGATGAGTCGCGGCTGCCCCCGGGCCGGGGGGAGGGAGGAGCGCAGGGGGAACTCCCGCTCCGGAGCCCCTATAAGAGCCGGGCCCGGCCCGCTCCGGCAGCAGCGGGATGGAGCGGAGCGGCAGCACCGAGAGCGGCTCCGGGATCACCGGGATCATCGGGATCACCGGGAATACCGGGAGCGGGCGGGCAGCGCCGCCTGGCGGCCCGCGGGGGGCACTGCTGCCCGCGCTCTGCCTGCTCCTGGCGCTGCTCCCGCTGCCCCCGGCCCGGGCACTGCCCACCCCATCCCGGGCACTGCCCACCCCCGAGGCGCTGAACCGCTCCAGGGAGCTGCTGGAGGCCGCCGACACCTCCCTCCAAAGGCTGAAGGTCTGACAGGGGCCCGGCGGGGAGCGGGATGGGCAGGATGGGGACGGGACATGGGTGGGGTGATGGGGTGGTACCCAGGGAGGTGGTGATGGGGTAGTGCAGGTACCCTGGAGGGCAGCGATGGGTTGGTGACAGTATCCAGGAGGGCAGCAATGGGATAATGATGGTATCCAGACGGGCAGTGATGGGTCAGTGAAGGTATCCAGGAGAGCAGTGATGGGGCAGTGGTGGTGCCCAGGACAGTGATGGGGCAGTGGTGGTGCCCAGGAAAGCAGTTTGGGGCAGTGTGGTACCCAGGACAGTGATGGGTTGGTGAAGGTGCCCAAGAGGGCAGTTTGGGGCAGTGGTGATACCCAGAAGGACAGTGACGGACTATACTGGTGCCCAGGCAGGTGAAGGTGCCCAGCTGGGCAGTGAGGGGCTGCTGAGGGTCCCCAGGAGGGTGGATATTCCCTGTAGCCTCCCTTTAGGACCCTCTGGTTTCACGCCTGCCCTGCTCAGCCCTTCAGGGTGGGGGTTTGCTCAGCAGCCTTTCCTTTTTGCTACAATTCCCTGCTATCTTTGCAGTCTCCACCTCAGGGAACCCCAAAAACCCCCAGCACTAAATGGGGGCTGTTCCCCACCCTGTTACACATCTGTGAGGATGGTGTTGGCTATTTTTCACTTTCCAAGAGATCCTTTATCTTTGAAACTAAAATGACATAAAGTTCTCCATGGATTCAACGTCTGAGAGAATAATTTAAAGCAGAAGAGGCCGAGCAATTCCCAACAACACATAAACCAAAGCTGTGCAAAGCTCTGAGCTTATTCCCAGTCCATTTTCTACCTTTCATATTTAACCAGAGTCCTCACACAGCCTCATCCTTAGGATTCAGCTAAGCTGGGATCCATCCCATATTTTTGCATTTACATATATATATATATAAATTCATATTTTTATACATATATATACATAAATATACACACATATATATAGTGTATATATATACATATATATACACACTATACTATGAAACTGAGTCAATGACCCTTTTTTTATTCCCTTTTTCACACAGGAACTCGACACCCTGGGATTTGAATGTACCCTCGAAGAGGTTGATCCTGAAGATATCACTAAGAACCAAACAAACACAATAAAAGCTTGCACATCTGAAGGTCTAGAGGTAAAATATATAAATATATATATATACATATATATAAAATTAAAGTTTCAGCCTATATTTTCATGGCACAGGCACATAATTCACACTCATTTCTGCTTTAATTTGCAGACTGGGAACTGTCCAGCACTGGAAGGATCAACTTTTGATAAGGTAAATTGCAAATTTCCCATAAGAATCCCTTTTTTTTTTTTGCTCACTGTGGATTTAACAGCAGATTCCCACATGTCCTGGTCGTTCTGCCTTTCCCAGAGGAAATGCCTGCAGGGCATCTACGAGGATCTGAGTGCTTACAGGGCAGAGCTCAACAACTTCCACGATCACCAAGTGCTGGCAAGTCTTGATGAGATGATGAAAGTGAGTATTTTCTGCCTCCTCCCTCTCCTCAGAGACCTCAAAAATCGAGTAAATACAGAATAAACCTCAAAAATAGAGCAAATACAGAATAAAAGGGACCCAGCTCTACTTCCCTCCCAAATACTGGGATATAACACACCCGGGGGGACTGAATATGGACGGACTGAACTGTGATAAATATTGGTGAGTAGAGGGAATAGATGTTAAAAGCTTGTTGGTTTAATAAAAGCTAATTAAAAAACCTTAATTAATTGCCTTTGTGTTGGCACAGCATCTCCCAGTATAGCCTGGGGAGATAAGTCCAGCCTAAAGGGTCTCTAGATAAACCTGGCCATGGGCTTGTTATTCAAACCAATCCTTATTCCTGGGCAGAAAGAGCCTCTGAAGGGACAATTTTGTCTTAAGGCAAGTCCAGCTGCCCATCCTCAGTCTATTAATTGTATCATTATTTCCAACTTTATCCTAAGTCTGCTAATAATATCATTAAATATTTCAAAACTCATCCTATTAGTTACATTATTTCAAATTTTGTCATGTGTCTAGTAATCATATCATTAAATACCCCAAAATTTACCCTCTTAATTATAACATTAAATATTTCAAATTTTATCTTGTCTAGTAATGGTACCATTAAATATTTCAAAATTTGTCCTATTCTAACATTAAACAGTTCAAATTTTCCCTACTAATTACATTCAATATTTCAAATGTTATCCTATTAATATCATTGAATATTTCAAAAATTACCCTGTTAATTATAACATTAAATATCTCAACTTTTATCCTAAGTAATATCATTCAATATTTCAAAATTTGTCCTATTCTAACATTAAATAGTTCAAATTTTTTCTATTAATTACATTATTTCAAATGTTATCCTATTAATATCATTGAATATTTCAAAAATTACCCTATTAACTATAACCTTAAATATTTCAAATTTTATCCTGTCTAGTAATGGTATCATCAAATATCTCAATATTTACCCTATTAATTATAACCTTAAATATTTCAAATTTTATCCTGTCTAGTAATGGTATCATCAAATATCTCAATATTTACCCTATTAATTATAACCTTAAATATTTCAAATTTTATCCTGTCTAGTAATGGTATCATTAAATATCT